ATAACTGCATCAGACCTAATTTTGTATTACATAATAATTCATTTTAAAAGAGCTGTACTCCAGCAGAGTACTTTAATAAGGTGAATCTCACGAAGAAATGTCAAATGAAAAATTGAATTAAATAAAATGACTTTTTTCATATTGTGACATTATTTTCATAACAATTAAGTGCATTGGTCCACCCCAATTTCTCTGCAAAAAAATCTCATTCTCATGACTGTAATATAGTTATCATTTTTCCTTCGTTTCGATAATAAAGAATCTGTATAAATTAATTTTAACAACTAATACTACCATAATGTACACTAACAATAGTACTATATAATTTAAATATATATTTTGTTGAGCAATATGGTTTTTAATTATTTTTTACAATAGGATCATGAGATGTTTTTGCATTACAATGATGAAAATTAGCTGCTTTTTGCATGTTTTATATGGTTACTGACATTTTTGAGTTTTAAATATACTCAACTGTCATAAAAATGATTCTTTATGCAACATAAAAGTAAAACATTATTTTTTTACTTAATATTTTTGGGACTAAATATTGCATTTCCATAACATTTTTCTTGAGATTCACCCTGACAGAGGCCATGCTTGATAATCACAGCCTAAATCATAGTGCATATCGTCTTAATTTAAGGGAAATTCTGCTTCCATCTGGCTTCGCTGATCAAAATACTGTATTCCTTTTATATTTTCACCTGGTTAGATCTTGAACACAATATTCACAAACTGTACAAGAAATACATTTCTTCAAATTATACTCTGTATTGCCCTTTAGATCGGCAGACTTCCTGCAGCCTCGGTTTAAAGGCAATAAATACAGATCTCGAAATCTGTTGCAGCTCAACCTGTAGCTTGACACCAGCGAAGGACGAAACGTGATGAAATCGACTGTGAGCTTTACTTCAGCCCACCAAAAAGCCAGAAATCTGCTTTGAGCTTAACAATCACATCCCTGAGTTTCAAGTTAGCTGACTGTAGCACCAAGATAAACAAACATCTGGATAAACGATAAAAAAGTGAGGGAGGAAACAGAGACAAAAATGAAGGCGGAGGGTTACAGGCTGTGAGCCTGTATAGGTATCATAGCTTCCCCTCTCAGACTCCAGGAATCACACTCCAGGTTTATCCGGGGATCAGACGTTTGCCCTGACCAGTCTGCCGGCACGAGGACCCCGGTGCACCTTAGTGTGTTTGGACAGGTGGTCGCTCCTGGCGAACTTTTTGTCGCACATTGTGCACTCATAAGGCTTGACTCCCGAATGAGACCGCCGATGGCGGGACAGCTCATCAGAGCGAGAGAACCTTTAATGCACAAAACACAGCAGGACATACACATCAGCTCATGACTCTGGAAAAATAAAATCATTACATCAAGGCCTCATTACAGGTTTTGATGTTAATCAGCTCACAACCTATTTACAAGGTTCCCACACTAGTTGACCAATGGATTTCTATGACTTGCTCATGAGTTTTCATCATTTATTACTAGATAAAACATTTTTAAAAATCATTTTATTGAAATTGCTCTCACCAAGAGATATTTCTAGACAATCAAATATTTTGAGCATTGCTACAAAAATTTAATATATACACATTAATTGCAATGGCATTTCATTCCTTTTAAATTTCCACTCATTTCCAAGTTTTGCACGAAATGCACTACCATTCAAAAGATTGGGACCAACTTTTTTTTTATACTTTTATTTATACTTCAATTCAGCAAGGACACACTACATTGATCAAAAGTAACAGTAAAGACATTTTTAATGTCACAAAAGCGTTCTAATTCATATAAATGTAGTCTTTTGAACTTTCAAATACTCAAGGAATCCGGAAAAAAGGATCGTGGTTTCTACAAAAATATTAAGCAGCACAACTGTTTTTAACACTCATAATAATAAGAAATCAGCATATTAGAATGATTTCTGAAGGATCATGTGACTCTGAAGACTGGAGTAATGATACTGAAAATTCAGCTTTGCTTCACAGGATGACATTTTAATGGAAACAGTTATTTTAAATTGTAATAATATTCCACAATATTACTGTTTTTACCATGATCAAATAAATGCAGCCTTGGTAAGCATAAGAGACATCTTTCAAAAATATCAAAAAAATCGTGTTCAATCCAATGTTACCAGGCATTAGCAATGGCTTGTTCAGCCTAGATGACATCAGCCAAAGAGAAAAGCTGTTTCAGAGATGGAGCAGGTTTTTATAAAAGATTATGAAGACATATTTTGTGCACCAAAGACCAAAACAGTATATAATGAAACTATTATCTTGTGTAGAGCTGCTTTATAGTTGAACTATAATAACTAATGAACTTTGCAACATTCACATTGTTACTGAACTAATTCGAATCATCATTGAACTAAACTGAGCTGAATAATGACACTATTGTCTTTTTAGAGCTGCTAAAATTTTATTAATTTCATAACTGAAATACTTCAATATGCTGTTGTTTATTACGGTGAAACTGCTTTGAAACAATCTGTATTGTATAAAACACTATAGAAATAAATGTGACTTGATTATTAAGAAACAGAATCAATTTGAATGTGGTTATTACTGAACAAACCTCACTTTCAAGTTGATTATTTTCTAGTTTCAACACTCACCTCCACCCACAGTCTGGCCAGCTGCACAGGTAGGGTTTCTCTCCCGTGTGTCTGCGGAAATGAGCCTTCAGGTGGCTGCTCTTGGTGTACATCTTCTCACACCCTGGGTGAGAGCATTTATGTACCCGCAAGGTTTCCGTGGAGGACCTGGATGGACGTGGTGTGATGGCTTTGACCAGGCCTGTGCCCGCTATTCCGACCGCCCTGATGGCAATAGGCAGGGGAGCGATCTTCACATACTTTTGGTCTTGGTTGATGGCCTCGCCCACGATGGGGAGGAAAGTTGCTGAGGGCACCTGTGATGAAAGGAGGGTAATGTTCTGTGCCCCTTGGACACCGAGCACCAGGTGGGCCACCCGAAGCCCGTTGGCCACACCCGATTGGGTGTCTGGCTGTGGGAGGGCGTGGCTTAGCTGGAGAGGTTGTAATTGAAGCACAAATGGAGCACCAATGAGCACCGGCGCAGCACTAGCTGTGGTGTTAACACTGTTAGCGGCAGGAGGCGTTGTCGTCGGGCTGGATTTCGGCTCTACGTCAACGGGGGAAGACGGCTGTATGGGAGGCTCAACCTCCTTTGACTTTTCCTCTGGACTCGGAGGAGCATCACTCAAAAGCTCCATCTTCTCCATCAAGAACTCCTCAATATCCTCCAGGGTTGGTGAGAAGGTGCTGGAGAGCTCGGGTATAAAATCAGGCAGCTTGGGTGGCTGAGTCAACATCTCCTCCGTGGAGTCGAAAAAGATCTGCAGTGGCCCATCGTCCTCGTCTTCCTCCCCAGGGCTGTAGCTGAGTTGAGCTCCATAATCTCCGGGTTCGGGACTGGAACATGAGATGGAGCTGCCCCTCTCGCTGCTTTCACTGCCTGCCACTTCCACAAAGGGCAAGGTGGCCAAGGCATGGTCCACAAATGATTCATTAGCAGTGGCCACCGCTTTGTCACTTATGGAGACCATTTGTTGGTGTGCAGATCAGAGGAAGGCTGAAGGTATTGCCACGATTTGTAAACACTGCGACAAAAAAAGAAGTTAGAAATTGAATAACGAGGATAAGTAGCGATGTGCAGTGGCATGATAAAGTATTTGGACACTTTAGACACAACAAATAAGTGAATACATTGCAGTCCTCTACTGCTACCTACAGTTATGTTCCTAACCCTTTATTTTGTTTATGTGTTTAATTATTTATGTATCTATTAATATTGTCACAGAAAAACAAAACAAAATCAAGTTTGATTCATAAATTTATTTTCAAAGATGGCAAAATTATTAATAAATTAGTCAAAAAATCATATAATTGTTGAAAACACTGCAACCGGGTGAATTTTGACAGCCTATGTATATATATATATATATATATATATATATATATATAAAACAAGAACTGAATGGAAAGGAAAAAGAAAGAAAAACATGGAAAAATAAGAGAACTGAGTGAATGATGGAGCAATTGTGGGTAAATCTGTCTGTTCTGACCTGTTTTTATACAGTCTATGGTTCACTATGAAAAAATGGAGCCAGCTGCTACAGAGACACTAGGTGGCAGTAGTTAATAAAGAACTGACCGATGCCACCCATCCCAAGTCAAGAACTGTCCGGCTATGATTAAAATTGTATTATGCCATTCCTAAAATAGCCAGACCTCAATTATAAAGTTCATTCTAAGTTTATTAGATTTTATTTTAACTAATTTAGTTGCAAATATCTTTTATCTTTTAGATAGCAACATTATATCTTAGAACCAAACATAAAAAGTACCTAAACATACAGTACAACGAACTCTTTGAAACGAAATGAAAAGCAACGAATAAATCTATTTGTCTGCAATCTCAAAGATGTATTAAATGACATAAACTATTATGACATCCAATCTAGACTTTTGTTGCTCCAGTTATTTAAGCACAATAACAAAGAAAAGAATAGCCAGCAACACTTCAGACTTGTTCTTTTCTTTCTTCAGAGTTCTACTGAAGAAACAAAGTCACCTACATCTTGGATGCCCTGGGGGTAAGCAGATAAACGTCAAATTTTAATTTTTGGGTGAACTATCCCTTTAAGCATCTCCGTATCAAACTTGTAAGCATCACTTCTTTAACAGGGTTGTGTCTCAAGATTTAAAACCTGAAACTCTCACTCGTCCTTGCTTTAAATCAAACATTCAGCTTATTTACTTTCCTGCACTTCAATACGCCCAAGTCAACTAATACTTCATTGTTACTTGTGTAATTGCTCTCCTTAAAAGGCATACAATTGTGTAATATTGCAAATATAATATTGTAAGCGCAGGTTAGATAACAATTGTTCCATCAAATAATTTAATGCTCAAATAAGACCTTTTATGTAAATGCATGACCATATATTGTTTGCTGAATATCATATAGCCCATGTTTTTTTTCCAATAAATTACTTGTAAAGCATTTAATTGCACATTGCCATCGCTCTTTCCAAAACTACTAAACAGAACCAGCTGCCCTTTATAGTTTTCGTCACTAGTATCCAGAGTCTGTTGCTCTCTTGGTAACATCTCATCTTGCATCAATATCCGCCTTCTCAAAGACGATCTTACTGGAGAAACACACAGCCACCAGACTCAACAAAGATGCACAGGCCATGTATGCGGTCACACTGTGGAAAAGCTGCACGATGGAGCCCATGAAGAGGGACGGGACCACCTGAGACAGCAGGTAGGCACTGTCTAAAATGGCGATGTCTGTGCCCATGCCTCTGAGGGCTGAGGGTTGTGGGTCCATGGTGATAGACACATGCAGATCAAGTGATTGTGAGTTTTTTATATTGCTATGGAAGGGTATTGTACCTGGATACCCATTGATGCACCCATTAGTTATTTTCTGCTTAGTCGAGGACAGCAACTCTGATCTGACTAGCATTAGATCTTCCTCCCTGAGAGGAAAATTGTGCCTGTCGGTGGAGAAAAAGACCTGGAAATTGAGAAGTGCAATAGTTTAGGATAAATACAGATTAGCATGGAAGATATACAAATGCATAAGGTTTGTTTGAAGCTCTTACCTGTGCATTTGAGTGGTATAGACAAGTGAGTGTGTACGGCAGAATCTGCAGGATGCAGAAGGTGTATCCTGTAGCAGCAGCCATGATGGTGACTAGTATAATGTTGTTGGATATGGTCATAACTGCTGTACTCACAGCCAGCAGAACCACGCTGCTCAGATACAGCTTCCTGGCACCGATACACAACACCATACGCTCCATAACCAATGAGAAGATCACAGAGGTCACACATTGTAGGAAAAGACCCAGACTGGCCATTCGAACACCTGCAGTGACATAAAAATAACACTAAAATACTTAGATTCCATATATATATATATACACAAGCCATTACTTTAGTGTCACATGATTTTTCCGAAATCATTTTAATATGCTGCTCAAGAAAGTTTCTTATTATTATCAATGCTGAAAACAGTTGTGCTGCGTAGTATATTTTGTGGAATATTTTTCAGGATTCTGTAATGAATAGCAAGTTCAAGCAAACATTTATTTAAGAAGAAATTATTTTAGTAACATTATAAAAATCGTAATCAGTGTTGGGGGTGATGCATTACAAGTAAACTTTCCATAAAAAGTAACACAATTAGTTACTTACGTGTGTGTGTGTGTGTGTGTGTGTGTGTGTGTGTGTGTTGAGTGCTGTTAGCTTAGCAACATGCTAACACCAACTGAAATTAATTGTGAGTCTAGTCTCATATTGAATATAAACAATTTGTCTTACTGTGATTTTTTTACAGACTTTTGTGTTGGTTAAATGTAAAACAAGTGAAGAAAAAAAACCTGCAAGTGCAGTCAGACAACATACATTTCTATTAAAGATACACTCTCAAAAAAAAAAGGTACAAACAGGTACAACAGGTACCCTTTTTTAAACCCTAAAGGGTACATATTAGCACCTTTTGAAAGGGCCCCAGTTACAGCTTATGTGCCTTTTTTCTAAGAGTGTACATTTTCTGAAAACAAGTTTTAAAATCATATGCAGTGTTGCTTCTCAAGTAAATTTATCTTGTTTCAAGCACTTTTAGGATATACTTTTTTCTTTATATTACAGATAAAATGTCACCTTCATCATAGCGTATCCTTCCTGAGGAGCCTGGCTCTTCACTGGGCACCCCATTATACAATCCTTCTCCAACAAAATCCGCGTAGAAAAGCATAAAGGACATAAGTGCCATCCAACTGCACAACTCAGCGACAAACAGCCTTGCAATGACTTTTGGCATGCGACTGCACAGCGAGTAGAGTCGGGGAGCCACAGAAAGGAGACTAGAGTACGTCCTTCGTAAAAGCAGAAATCTGGGGAATGCCACACAAGGGCAGCAGCGAGTCTTCAGTTTTTCAGGCTTTCTGGACACCTCAGCTTCCCCCAGCCTTTCTCGTACTGTTTTCTCCTCAGAGATGAAGGTTGTACCCATCAAACAGGCGAGAAAAATGAAGGTCAAAACAATGTAGATGAAGGCCTCTTGTCCACCCAAGTAGACCACAGTGTCCGAAGTTGTCCAGTTAACCGCGGCCAGCAGGTAGCCGATGCATCCGCCCAGACTGAGCATGAGGGAGTAGACGGAAAAAGCCTTACGACTCTCTTCCTCTCCGGGAAAGAGGTCAGAAACCAAGGCCTCTAAAGGGGTGAAGCAGGCCTGACCACAGAATTCCATCAAACTAATGGCAAGGACCAGCAGTGGGACCTCCAGCCAATGCCGCTGTTGTTTTGTGAGCAGGGTGATGAGGGTGGATGTCTGAGGGATGATCAAGAGGCCGAGCAGGACGCCCATGCACAAAACCCATATGAAGGGACGCCGGCGACCGTATTTACTTCTCCAACTATCACTCGCCGAACCAATTAGAGGGACAACGATCAGTCCCAGCACAGGTCCCACAGCTGAAATAAAAACATCAAATCATAAAACATCAAATGTAAATTCACTCGCTGGGTTTGTCCCTTTTTAGCCCAATAGCTGGGTTTGTCCCTTTTTAGCCCAATAGCTGGGTTTGTCCCTTTTTAGCCCAATAGCTGGGTTTGTCCCTTTTTAGCCCAATAGCTGGGTTTGTCCCTTTTTAGCCCAATAGCTGGGTTTGTCCCTTTTTAGCCCAATAGCTGGGTTTGTCCCTTTTTAGCCCAATAGCTGGGTTTGTCCCTTTTTAGCCCAATAGCTGGGTTTGTCCCTTTTTAGCCCAATAGCTGGGTTTGTCCCTTTTTAGCCCAATAGCTGGGTTTGTCCCTTTTTAGCCCAATAGCTGGGTTTGTCCCTTTTTAGCCCAATAGCTGGGTTTGTCCCTTTTTAGCCCAATAGCTGGGTTTGTCCCTTTTTAGCCCAATAGCTGGGTTTGTCCCTTTTTAGCCCAATAGCTGGGTTTGTCCCTTTTTAGCCCAATAGCTGGGTTTGTCCCTTTTTAGCCCAATAGCTGGGTTTGTCCCTTTTTAGCCCAATAGCTGGGTTTGTCCCTTTTTAGCCCAATAGCTGGGTTTGTCCCTTTTTAGCCCAATAGCTGGGTTTGTCCCTTTTTAGCCCAATAGCTGGGTTTGTCCCTTTTTCCCCAATCCCTGGGTTTGTCCCTTTTTAACCCAGCGCTGGGTTATATTTAACCCAGCATTTTTTAGAGTGTGCTAAATGCATATACAGTATATGACACTATATTCTTCTGTAAAAATATTATACAACACAGTACAATGACAAATTATTTTATTTATTTAATTATTAATTTCATTGTATTTCATTACAATGTATTTAATTATTGAAGAGCTGCATTTTAAATTATTGAATAATTTATAATGAATTTAATTAACAACCTATTTTTTTTTTTAATAATATTATAATAAGTATACAGTTGCATTTACATTTCAGTAAAGTGGTCCCTCACAAGGAGATCAACGTATTTGGGTGTCCTTAGCATTAAAAAGTTGGAAGTGAAACCCCAGAGGTGGAAGTGACGAAGCACTGACATGGAATGGCTCAGTAAGTGAGTCAAATGTAACCATTTATACGTAAAACTAAACTTAATTTACGCAATGTTGATGGAATGGAACGGTTCAGTGAGTAATTTGTTTCAGTAACCAGTCTGGCTGATTTGGTTCATTATAGTTCACTCAGTAAAAGATTCGTCAGAAGGATTCGCCAGTTCTGGTTCAAATGAACTTGTGCCTTCATTTAAACGATTCATTCAAAGAACCGGCTCTCAGTGAATTGAACTACGCACGTTTCGCTATGTTTGTTTTTACGTCAGCGTTCAAGGAGCGGCGAAAAAGCGCTTTTGGAAACAGGACGACACACCTTTTGGCGTCATGCCAGAAACACGTAATTTAAATACAATATATGACCTTTAAGAAACTTGTTAACTAAGTTTGACAACTCATATTTGACATAGGCTATTTCTGATATGGTATGAACGCAGAAGCATTCTCATACTCATACTATTTGTACTAGCCTACATTTCAAAACCGCTGAAAGCCTTGAAGCTCACGATAATCCCATCTGAAGTTCCAACACCTTTCAAATGTTTGTTCATCCGTCCAGATATTTAATAACCCGGCTACACTACTAAACTACCCACTGCCCTCCAAAAACAACTTTGACAGTGACCTCTTTGGGAGTGACTTACCCAATACCATGGTCATGAATCGTTCTTCCACCCCTGCCTCCAGCAGCATAGGCGGGATGTAGATGGTCCCAGCAGCCAAACATACCTCCAGACCGCATGTTAATGCATTAATCAAGAACAACTGTGAGATCCTGCCATGCATGTCCAGATTCTCCTCTCTTTCACCTCTTCAAACTCTGCAGTGATGAAAGAAGCTGTTTAGCCATATATGAATGCATATGTCCAACATTATGACTTCTATTGCGTGCTCTTCTTGCCACAAAGCTACCAAATGGATTCAGAAGACACTGAATAGGCTATATGAATCATGTGTTCTTTTCGGAATTGCCCACTTGCTGTTTTTCTCAAGAATTTCATTCGCATTTTTATTCATGTATGCCATCCGCCAACTTCCCATGCTGACAAAGATTAGAAATTCAGTCATGTGATTATGACCGTTGACACCAGGATGTGTGGCAGAATAAAACACCCCTTTAGTCAACAGTGTGTTTGTTCAGGACTATAAAATAATGATGAGTTTCTTAGCACTCAACTGCTGATCTTTGACCTTAAAGGCAGTACATCTATTAGAGCAGCTTTATGATTGATGTCGAATGCATGGCAACAATAAACAAAAAAGGGCATATGTAGCAATCAGTGTAATCAATTTCTTTGCCGGTTTTAGTTTAGCGTTGCTTGTGACTTCTGGAAGACCGCTGGTTCTTGTTCTCAGATCTTTGCAGTATAACAGACTCATGGAATATTTCTCCATGGTTTGGAGAAATTTGAGTTGCCTGTTCAGTCCACATTGACGTAAATTACAAAAGCGTTCGAATGACACACGTCTATATTTAGTCCATTTAAATCTCCTGTTTCACTTATCAAGTGAATCTCACAAAAGCTGTTAAGAACAAGGAAATGAAGCATGTTTTTTTGGACCATTAAGAGTTTTTGCAACTGTGACACTTTCATGACAGTTAAGCACAGAAATCTTATTAAGATTTATAATTAAATAATTATTCATACATTGGGGCAGAATCTACTTTTATTTCTACTTTTTAAAATGTATTTGATTAAATTTTATTATATGTTCTATTTATTTATTTAAAAAAAAAAAAACATTTCATGCTGCTGTGTTGGAAAAATGAATGGACTACTATTTGAATTTCACTGAATAAGTAAATCTGTTAGATTTTTCCTGATTTGTATACTGTACTGTTGGGGTTATTCATTGATTAATTATTAAGTGATGCATTAAATTGACCAAAAATGACAGCAAAGACATTTCTAATATTATAAAAATATTTATTTGCTTTCTTTTAATAAATTCTGTTCTTTTGAACTTGCAGTACATCAAAGAATGTATCCACAAAAATATTAAGCAGCACTGATAATAATAAAAAAAACAAGCAAATCAGTATATTAGAATGATTTCTGAACGATCATGTGACACTGAAGACTGGAGTAATGATGCTGAAAATTCAAAATTCCGCTTTGCATCACGGGAATAAATTACATTTATTAAAAAAACAACAACAACACCAATATGAAGGTCGACCATATTTACTTAAACTATCACTCGCCGAACCAATTAGAGGGACAACGATCAGCCCAGCACAGGTCCCACAGCTGAAATAAAAACATCAAATCATAAAACATCAAATGTAAATTCACTCTGGATATGAGTGTCTGCTAAATGCATATATTTGACGCAACTTTCTTCTGTAAAAAAATGTTATGCAACACATACAAATGACAAATTATTTAATTTATTTAATTAATAATTTCATTGCAATGTATTTAATTATTGAATAATTTTATTTTTAATTACTGAATAATTTATAATGAATTTAATTATTGAAAAAAACTATTTTTAGTATATAGCTGCCTTTACATTTCAGTAAAGTGGTCCCTCACAAGGAGAACATTAAAATATACTACAATAGAAAAGTTATTTTAAATTGTAATAATATTTCACAATATTACTGTTTTTTTGTTTGTTTTTTTCAAATAAATGCAGCCTAATTAACACATTTTACCCCAAACCTTTTCAGTGTATGTTACTGTACATTTTAAAACATTCAAATTTTAAAATATGACTACATTTTGTATATAAATACTGTGAGGTCACTTAAGTTCTGAAGCTGTTCTTCTGAATATTACTTGTTCAGCATCATGTCACAAGGAGTTGACAGATTATTGAGAAGGAAGGAGACGTGTCTTTAAGTGCAACATGTACAAACACATTTAACTCTTAGGAGTGACACTCTTTTATTTCGCTGTCAACCACATACACTGGACTCCTGCCTCAGCTAAGAGTAAAAAGTCTTAAGTATAACCTGAGTTGAAACATAACTGAGCCATGAAAAGGCTTTAGACAGGAAAAAAATCTTACCTGACGCTGCCTCTGACAGGGAGCTTCAGGTCCTGGAATTTTTTCGTTTCTTAAATTGACATTCTGTATGTATAGCCTGTTTTAGGATCAAATGAACAAGCATTTTAACATTTAAACAACATTATTTTAAACAAATGATTACAAATATCCTTTTTACTTGTCTGTAAAGGAATACAACTAATCACTGATATTTACCCAATTATTCATGACATTTAAAGGCGATAAAATAAAACGAATAAATGCCAGTAATACAAAGACAGTGATCTGTTTTATGATTTTATGGCTACAGGTGCATCATCAGCTACACATCATTCTGTTACAAAAAACAATACGTACGTTTCATTTCCATCTGAAAGTGTGAATTGGAGGGATGTCGCCTGCTGTGGTTTTACTGATTCCCATGTGAATGTGTAGAAAGTGCAGTGACATCAGTAGAAGTTTGAAGAGCCGTCCCAGGAGCGCTGCAGGAAGTGGGCGGGATGAGCTGAGAACACACACGTCTAGAAAGCCACATCACAGAGGCTCTGCTCAATCTTCAGCATTGCTGCAGGTCATGAATTAAAGCCATTTAAGTCTGGCACAACAGGTGTGTCTGCTTTTATAGAGCGATTTCCTTTAATGGATCTGTCTGTCTACTACTTACCTATCTACCTGTCTGTCTGTCTATCTATTGTTCTAATGTTCTATCTATCTGTCATTCTATCTCTATGTAACATGTATATTATAAGTGCTGTATCAGTCAGCATTTCTTCCTTTTAATCATTATTCATCTGTGTTTGTTGTTTTTTAAATGGCCTTGCAGTTTGACAAATACATTTGATAAATATTCCATATAGTCTCTTAATGAATATAAAGTCATAAAACTGCATGTAATTGTACAAGATGCATTCGATGGAGCATGTCAGGCAGGATGATGATGTCAGTGTTAACTACTCGCCTACAGGTGGAAAAAAGTGGATGGTTCCTTTCGTGAAATACAAAATATCAGGGCATATCTCAAATTGCAGCAGTGTGTTAGTAAAACAAAAGAATCTGAGCCATTAGAAAGGAGTTTCTGTTTTCTGTTTGTTACATGTGGGTTGGAGGAGTTGTTTCACAAGTACAGGGTCACACATTTGCATTTATGCATTGTAATGGTGCTTTTCATTATTAATTTGCTTTTATTCATTATTTGAACTATTGGAATGCTGTAGGCTATGGGAGTTGTGTAGCAAACACAAAAGTATTAAGAAATAATTGCAAACACTACATGTTTGAAAGTCTTGTTTCTTATTTTCAAGCAGACTAACTTGACATTTTTCACACTATAAGTTTGTTTTACACATCCAGCTTCTTCTTTTTGTAGGTTTTGTCACTTTTAGCTTCCCTTAGTTGTTTTTTTTTTCAATAGAAACTTACTGTCATTTAGTTGTTTTGTGAGCACATTTTATTTTAGTAAAATTACATTGTAATAATAATTATTGTTAAATAAAGCCTTTTTTTGTAGCAAGGAGAACAGGCTACTGGTAATGCAAAACAAAAATATTGTTAACACGTCTTTGAATGGTCTCAGACTTGCACTTTTGTTGAAGGAGTTTGACAACACTGCCTCCATGTGCTGGAATTTAATATCGCAACTGCTGACGACATTATAATGTTTATGGAAACAAAAGTAGAATGACAAACTAACTTAAACACTATGGAAATGAAGTCGGTTTTATTAGGAACTGGAAAAATAAGTGCTTCATATTCCTGCACCTGCTATTTTTAAACTCTAAATCTTAATTTAATCCAAATTTTCATATTATAAAAAATGATACTAGCAACACGGAAGATAGGGAGGTGTCTCAAATATCCATATTATCCTCAGCTAATTCAGACAACTATGCATTATGCACATACTTTTATTTTCATCTAGCTTCTAAAGATATGCAGTAATGTCAGCATTTTAGATCTCTAAAGTGTTGTCAAAACTGATTCAGCTTTCTATTTCTTTAGAAGTGAGATTAACAAATTATGAATTTCCCCTTAAAGGCACAATATGTAATTTTTGCCACTAGAGGGCGCGTATTCAAAATAAACAAAGAAACAAAGGCATAGTTAGATGACGCCGTGACTGAGTGTGGAATCATGGGAGTTGTCGTCTTCATCACCACAGCCGATGCAATCCGATGGGACTCGGGCAGAAATCATGTTCATGGATGAGCTAATGCATTGGCAGGCGACACAATGACACTATGGACACGGTCCGTGTCACTAGTTAAAATTGCTTATTTCTCTGGATTTAAACATTCTTCGAAACATTTGGGATAGTGTAAGTACACAAGTCAGCAAAATATATAACACTGTTTATAGTTTTTGGATATTTTATTTTAAAAATCTTACATATTGTGCATTTAAAGCAATAGTTCACCCAAAAATGAAAATTTGCTGTACTCATCCTCAGGCTATCCAAGATGTAGATGAGTTTGTTTGTTCATGGAAACAGATTTGGAGAAATTTAGCATTCCATCACTTGCTCACCAGTGAATCCTCTGTAGTGAATGGGTGCCATCAGAATAAGAGTCCAAACAGCTAATAAAAACATCACAGTAATCCACACAATCTTCATCAGAACAGATTTGGATAAATGTAGCATTACATCACTTGCTCACCAGTGAATCCTCTGTAGTGAATGGGTGCCGTCAGAATGAGAGTCCAAACAGCTGATGAAAACATCACAATAATCCAGAAGTAATCCACATATCAGTTAATATGTTGTGAAATGAAAAACTGCATGTTTGTAATAAACAATCAAAAGACTTTTTAACTGTAAACCGTAGCTTCTGGATTTGTTTGGACTCTCATTCTGACGGCACCCATTCACTACAGAGGATCCATTGGTGAGCAAGTGATGTAATGCTAAAAAGAAACAAACTCATCTACATCTTGGATGGCCTGAGAGTGAATACATTTTAATTATTGGGTGAACTATTCCTTTAAGATTATTTTCCGATTAACAGAGGTGGCACACACAAATCAAAACTCACTGAGGAACCATTACGCTACTTCTGAATGTTCTCATCAGAACAAAAGGTTGTTAAAACATTTGATTTTGATGAATAAAAACACAAATGATATCCACACTAATCTATGATAGTATCATACATTAAATATGTACAAAATATCAATCTCCAAGGAAGGTGTTTTCCACAAGAAGACACAAGTACGACAGTTTCTCATTAAAATGAAGATACTTTTATTTCTTTTCTTAAAAAAACAAACAATACAAAAAAAAAAATCTGAGGAAAAAAAGGAAAAAAAAAAAACAATTTAAAATTTAAATCAAGCACAAAAAACAAAACATTCATACATTTTTGGACAGCTAGGTTAAAAACCAATTTATAGATAGCATGAGTGGAAATATTCAGAGATGCCTGGCAGAAAGGATCGAACCTAGTCAGAATGCCATGTATGCGCTTGTAGCCAGAAAAGCCCCTTGAAATGCATCATGGTATATACGTCATATGTGTCTGAAATGAAAAAAGCAGCAACAGAAATACATATTTAATGAGCAAACACACATAAGGTATGAATAGTACAATTCTTCTCCATCCTCACAGTACAAATATGCCTCTGAGATTGCAAACGCATCTGATCCAGGGCTGAAGAATAACAATATTTGACTTTTTAAAATGTTATTTGCTCAGTTGAAGAGATCCCTTAACATTCGGCAATACAATCTCTGGACAAAAACGGGCACAAGTCAAAGATACCAGCGGTTTCTGAACATTTAGCTTTGCGGTACAATATCTCGAAAAACAGGCTTTGTAAGGCAGAAACTTCCCATGCAATTAACCATTATAGGCCTGATCTCAGCACACTCACACTGCGTGCCTCTTTTGAGAAAAGAGATGAATGCATTCGTACTGCAGCCTTTATACGAGATGATCTGGTGGATGAGGGAAAAAATATATATAAAAAATAAAACAAATGCACATTACAAAGATCACAGAGAAATGAACATATTCCAGGTCCAAAATGAGTTAAGCTCAATGGATGGCATCTGCAGAACGGATCATCACAGAAAATATTCTCATATCTCAGTTTGCTAAAAAACAGAAACGCACTTACAAATGGTAGGTGCCATTGTAGATGCACAACAAACCGAGTTAGGAATCCAAATTATTTTCTGTGGTAATTCTGCAGATTTCATAAACAGAATTTGGCCCATTTCTAACCCAGAATATTCTATTAAAACGCTAACTGCATTATGGTTCAAACTACACAAATCGAGACCGTTTATTTAAAAGGTAAAACCACAAACTGAACAGCAAACCCTGGATAAAGTGTGTACCACGATGAAAGAAATTCTCAAAACATGAGCATTAGTTGTCAGTTTGTCCATCTTCAGCTGATGATCCGCATGTAAAGAGCTGAAAGCGCATGTTGAATAAATACAAAACGAATCCTGGGATAAGCACGACCAAAACAAACGCTGTGAACTATTACGGACTGCGACAACAAACGCATCGGATCTCATTCAGGAAACACTGTTGCAAAACTATTCATAGGTAACTTGCTGTATTTTGTGGTCATTTCAGCAAATACGGTGTTGTGAGCAAAACCGAACGCAACAATTTGGGCCTCGTTTGTTAAACACAAGCACAATCTTGTGCAAACTGCAGTGAATTGACTAACAGTTTGTAGACAATTGCGTTTACACTTTTTTTTTGCGCTGCATGAGTGAGGCCCTTAGTCGCAATAATTTACGCAAGAATGGTTTTACGAGCATTTTACACAGCAATTAATTTCATGAATGAAGACCATCGGTCGCAACAATGCAGAGTGGATGTTAAGCTTTATACATGTTACTGAAATGAACGAGCGCAAAAGCTTTTTTTTTTTTGTGATTACCCCGGGCGAGCAGCGAAGCTACTGGTTGGAACGATGGGCTTCCCTCGAGATTATATACCCATAAATAAACAGATGCAGACACATTTTACTGAATAATATATATAGATATATATGCTCGCAATTTCTGGGAAAACGTCCTTTTGCGATATGGAAATTATAGGTAAACGAAAATAAAATAAAAGTTCAAACCGTTGAGCCAGGCCACAATAGACACTGAAACAAATCTGAAAAGCAAACAAACCCAAAAAAAACTAAAAAAGCAAAAAAGGAAAGCGTGTAAAGGGAAATAGAAGAAAGGGACGACGTGAATAACATGGCTAGTCTTCCCCAGATGGAGCCTCCTCTTCTGAGCCGTCCTCTTCCTCGTCTTCGTCCTCGTCTTCAGGGGCGTCATCCTTTGTCTTTTTGGATGGAGGAGACTCTTTCTTCTCCACCTCTTCTTCCTCCTCGTCTTCAAGGGGGCTCTCGGGTTCCTCGTCGTCTTTGGGCGAGGATTTCTCCACTGCTTTAGCTGCACTCGGGCGACCTTTCCCTTTGCCTTTCAAGGGGCTAGGGTTCACTGAGGGACAAACAAACACGTTTACACTCCTGTTCAAAAGTTCGGGGTCATTAAGAGTTTTTTTTTTTTATTCAGCAATCATCAAAAGTGACATTAAAGACATTTATGTTACAAAATATTTCTATTTTAAATAAATGCTGTTCTTTTGAACTTTCTGTTCACCAAGGAATTGTGAAAAAATGTATCTACAAAAATAAGCACCACAACCGCTTTCAATATTGATAATAATAAGAATAGTTTCTTAAGCAGCAAATCAGCATATGTGAATGGTTTCTGAAGGATCATGTGACACTGAAGACTGGAATAATGATGCTGAAAATTCAGCCTTGCATCACAGGAATAAATTACATTTTAACATATTAAAATAGAAAACTTTAAATAGTAATTATTTCTCAGTATTGCCGGTTTTTTTTTTTGAGGTATACTTTGCATACGAGTCGTCGTCTTTCAAAAACACAAAAATAATCTTACTGACTCGCACCTTGTGACTAAAGTAGTACATTTCATAAAGCATCAAAGTGTTTCTGCCTTTGTCAGACTAACAACCTTTTTAAGCAATACATGATTTAAATGAGAAAATTAAAGGAATAGTTGACCCAAAAATGATAATTGTGTCATTATTTTGTGCTAACATCATTTACAGATCATTTCAAACCCTTATGTTCTTTGTTCCTTGAAACACAAAAAGAGACATTTTAAAGAACGTCCAAGCTGCTCTTTTCCATACCCTAAAATCTCAAGAGCGCCAGTGGTTACCTGTGGCCTTTAGCCGGGGTTTAGGGGACTTCTTGTCCTTCTTCTCCACTCTCCTTCCTCCTCTCTGCACTACTTTTTTGCCTTTCTTTTTGGAGCGCCCATAGTCGCTGTCATCATCATCATCAACCATGAAGTCTTCATCACTGCCTGACTCTTCTGCAACAGAGAAAATTTTAATATACAGGTGTTTAAGTCAAAAAGACTTCAATGGAATTTTTGTTCAATTGTTTATCATTTGCCAGGCCAAAATCACAAGTCCAATTGCTTAAAAAAAAAAAAATTCACAAAAAGTTGCAAGGATGAGCAACAATAATAATTATGACGCTTAATCAAAGTGACAAAAATATTTAACAGTGCAGTTAAAAAGTAGCACACTTACGGTCCAGGTATGGTTGTTTTTCCTCATCTTTGTCCTCATCCTCACTGCCTCCGTCTCCCAGAAGGATTTCTCTCTGTTTGGACACGGCCTTTGACGCAGCCTGCCTCACCTGCCTCGGTTTCCTGCTCACCTCTTTATCATCATCACTATCATCTGCAGAGAACATCATGCACCCATATTTTCATTTATGCTTCATTTAATTTGCATCTATTTTCACATCATGCACTCCTAAACCGTGGTTGTTTCATATGTGGATCACATGATCTTATTCAGTCTTAATGGGCAGATCTTGGCCAAAATAAGACTAGACTTAATGCTGATAGTTTAACATCTGGTGCTTCATGGTTAATGCATTAGAGTTCAAGGGCAAGTGACATTTTTTGTCGATCCGCGACTCACCTCCACCTCGTTTCCTCTTCAGTGACTTTTTGCCTGGCTTCTCCACCTTTCCTTTCTTTCCCTTCTTGGCCTTTTTATCATCATAGTCACTTCCTCCATCTTCGTCTCCCTCTTCCTCTCCAAAGTCGTTGTCTTCATCGCTACCGAAGTCATCTGAAGAGCACAAGATTAGAGCGTAATCATCTTTTTATGAATCACTAACTCACCTACGGTTGATGAAATAATTCAACGCAATTTACCTGCAGAATCATTTTTGGATTTGGAGAGTTTTTCTTCGGAATCCTCGCTGTAAGACAACAGAAAAGGTTTGTTAGTAGTTTGATCTTTGAAGGAGAACGTCCTAGTGCGTGGTAATTATTTCCTAGTTATAATTAACTGCCGCATATGTGGGTCATAAGGAGAAAATGGATCTCAAAAAGGTTCACGATCCCCAGAGATCCGAACACACACAAAACCAGTCATGAAATTCACTAATTTGCACCATTTGATACATATATAAAATGATTTAAAGTGCATTATTCTGATAATATTTGTTCATCAATTACACAAAAGCTGAAAATAGACAGATTCTTACCTCTCTTCCTGCGAATTCTTAGATTTCTTGTGCTTGATTTCGCGAGGTGGAGCACGTATCTTCTTGGTTGTTTCCTTTTCTCTCCCATAGTCCTCATCTGGAGGCAGAAATGAAGGCGGATTGGACCACGAAGTACACGATCGCACAAACCGACTAGCTAAAACCATCTCATGAATTGACCTCCAGAATACTTGGATGCCAATATTGAGCAAACATGCAAAGAGTACTGCTGACATACATGAATACTTTTCTGAAAAGCTAAAACAATGCATTTTAGAGATGGTTTAATTACCTGCGTCATCAGATTCGTTAAACTGGGAGTAATTCACCACCTTTCTGTTCCTGTAAGAGAGAGAGAGAATACTGTAACAAGAGTTTCCAAGCACACATTTGTGATGCAGCGGTGCGTGTGACGTTAATTCATGTTTTAAGGGTTTACAGACCATCGGAAGGTGGTCAGCATTAAAGCTCATTTAGCATGCCTCGCTTCATTATGTTTACTTGAATTAATGATCGTTAAACAGTTCCTCAATTAGTGTTTCATTAATACTGCAGTCTTGTCCCATTTAACCACTCAGGCCCACAGTGTTGAGATGCTTGAAGAGCCACAAGTTACTTTTAAGTAATTAGATGGATCACAAGACTTTTTTTGGATTATAATTTACAATACACTTTAAAAAACTGGTGTAGAAACAGTTTTCACTCAGAACTTGCTAGTAAATATTACAAAGAAATGGCAAGTAACACATTGAATGAAATGCGCAATTTACAAAAATAAATAAAGAAAATTGGTGCAGAAGGAGTTTTCACTCAGAAATTGCTAATAAATATTACTAATAATTACAAAGAAATGGCCATTAACATATTGAATGAAATGTGCAATTTACAAAAAGAAATAAAAGAAATTGTGTAGAAACGGTTTTCACTCAGAAATTGCTAGTACATTTTCTAAATAATTACAAAGAAATGGCAAGTTTGAATTAAACATGAAATATTAAAACTGAAATTGTATTTTGTTCTATTTTTTCATAGTGCAATTAATCATAAATTCAAAAAGCACATGATAATATACAGAATGAAATCTATTTTAACAGTAAAAACTGAAAAATTAACTCGGAATTTTCCTCAAATAGCGCAGGAATCTTGCCATTTACTACTTTATTTTCATTAAAAATAATAATTAAGCTTGTAAAATTAATTTCGCAAGAAATGTCTCCGCATATTCTTATTGGCAACAACTTTTTTTTTTTTTTTATACTGTAAGAATTATTTCAGAATCTCTATCATTTTCTTGATTAATCTTTTTAATAACAGCCCTGGCTAATATTAAGTTCAAGTTTTATCGTAATAACAGTATCTGCATGTTCGCGACATTTGAATCTTTTTATATCGGCCCTCGGTCATCTTTTACAGACACAAATAACGCGCAGTCATATATATACTAATCCGCCGTTGTCTTCTGAAATCAAAACGTGGAGAGTGAATATGAATTTGTGAACGTTTTCCACAGAACTCCAAGCGGGGGGTGTGGTCGCTCTCCGCCGCCCCGCCCCCCTCTGACGCCACCCACGTCGTGTTAATTTACCACCATCAAAAAAAATCCCTCAAAAACGCGCTTCCCTACCCAAAAAACACCAACGGCCTTTCGCAATCTATTGTTTCTGCACTACCGAGGTATTTGCGCAAATATGTGCGCATTACAGGTTGCAAAATCACTCGAATGGGCCAATGAGCACCTCCAGTGGGATTTTATTACCCCTCCTGAAGCTTTGGCGAGGATGAATGGGAAGCCATATTCTCAGTGGCTTACAAGGAAACATGAAGCCTTTTATTGCTTCGCACACAACAGATATAGTCTGAAATGTGGGTAGGTGATGCACAAAGAATATCAGATTTCAGAATCCTGGTGGATGCATGTTAGAAACGTGCTACATATGCCCGTAAATATAAAAGAGACAGTCCTGCGCCACTTGGAAAAGAGACAACGAGCAAAATGCATGCACGATTGAGCCAAAATGTTACAAAATCGAGCTCTAAACAAGAACCTAAGGATGCCTGGCACATGCGTGAAGCCTAGAACTCAGTGTGCATGCAGCAGCTATCAGCAGGACGAACGGAAACCCACGTACCTCACTGGTCTTGCCATTTTGCAGGAATACTGTAGAGGTTAAAATTGTGAACGAGCAAAAGAAACTGCAAACAAAATGTGGTATTTTAAAACACACGAGGGTGACGTCGCAAAACCAACGCACTCTCCCTGCGGTAAAAAATTAAACGATGCGGGAAATATTCCTGCTCTACGAAAGTATTTAGTTTAAATTTTACCTTCAGCTACTCAAAATGGTGAATAAAACAAACTGAAACTGCAGCCTTCGCGCAACCTAACCATTGGATGGTGGGCGGGCATTTGTGTTTAAGCTCCGCCCACTCGGCTGGATTTGCCCAGAGAGCGACGCTATTGGTCCGTTTGAACGACTGTTTGATTTGGGATTGGGTTTTGTGGCTGTCGGTCAAACATAGGGTCTCTGAAGCATTTACCCTCCCCCTCGTTTGCGGATAGGTTGAACAGCATGGCTCAGAAACAAAAAGAGGCCCGTACAATATGCAAGATGTCCCAGTTTAAGTGTAGAACAACTTTGTGTTGTTTGTTTCTTTTGAAATCAACTTTATATAAATGAATGTGCGCTTTATATAAGGGAGAGCGCACAACAGAAGGTTTGAAACCCACAGAGTATTCAGTTTTGCTGGCTATTGACCTAAAGTGGGATTTTAAGTAGATCATGATTCATAGAATATTACTGCAAATATAATGATAGCAAAAATAGTAATGCTAACAGTAGTCAGGCCTAATATTGTTCACATTTCATCATTTAAATTTGTATTGCAAGAATGTTAATAATGTCTATTATTATTTTGATGAGAAGTAATATACGTTTGTATATTTGACTTTTTTTTTGTTTTTTAGCCTTTTCACAATCCTTGTCTTGCCCAATGATGATTCTTCTCAGAAAGAAAGAAATGAAAAGCGCACAACAAAAATAAAATGCTGTAATCAAACCTAATCTAATATCCCAGTCCATCTACCCTCAGATCTGTTTGCTTTATTTGGTTGACTTCATGGCTCAGAAATGATCCTAGTTTGTTATTGTCCACTTTTGTTGTTTTTTTTCTCTGAAATGAAGTTTGCGTAAATTAATATGCGGTTTGAAAGCTTAGAAAAGATGGGGTTTAGAAAGGTTTCAGACCCACAAAGTGTTGATTTTAGCTGACTTCTACCTTAAAATGTGCCCCAGCTTGATATTAATTGAAAAAGAAAAAAAAAAATGTGATTGCAAATGTAATAATGTATTACATTAATATTGATCTTCTTTTGCGTTTATATTATAAAAGCTTTAATAACATTTACCCTTGTTACTTTGACGGAAATGAATGTGCTTCATGGCTCAGAAATGATCCTAGTTTGTTATTGTCCACTTTTGTTGTTTTTTTTCTCTGAAATGAAGTTTGCGTAAATTAATATGCGGTTTGAAAGCTTAGAAAAGATGGGGTTTAGAAAGGTTTCAGACCCACAAAGTGTTGATTTTAGCTGACTTCTACCTTAAAATGTGCCCCAGCTTGATATTAATTGAAAAAAAAAAAAATAAATGTGATTGCAAATGTAATAATGTATTACGTTAATATTGATCTTCTTTTGCGTTTATATTATAAAAGCTTTAATAACATTTACCCTTGTTTCTTTGACGGAAATGAATGTGAATAGCAATGCAGGCTGCTTGACATTCAGTCTCCAGAGTCACATGACTGCAAGGCATCTGTATTCCAGCATAAGCAATGTATCTAGCATGTCGTTTCAAAGGATTTTTATGCATACATGAAATGCAGTGACTGTGTATTTCACTGTATTTCTGTTCCAGGGAAAAGGATTTCTTCCTCTTTATTCCCCCAATATTTCGCTGCAGACCCTGGAATCCTCTCTGCTCAGCAGTTATTGAAGTGAGGAGAAGGTACGTCTCCATGGCAACCAGGTATGATTCTCATCCGTTTTATTTATTTATTTGCCCATCCATCAGTGTTTGCATTTCTTTAGCCTTTTCTAATCTTCCGAAGCATCTCTGTATGAGTTCCTGAAAAGGAAATCTGCTATCAAGGGTCAGTCATCTGATATTGTTTTTGTTTATTTGGATGCATGTCATCTGTTGCCACAGCAACCACTCACTTTTCTCCCTGGAGTGCACACAGAAATCACATCTAAATTCGAAGACAAAATGCTGTCACAAAAGTAGGACATGTACAAAAAATCCTCGCACAGGCTATAACACCATACAGATGTGGGGCCCACATGCATAAACTTGTGTTTGCTCACAGCTTATGGGCAAAGTGCAATGAAATCACTAGTTCCTGTTACACAAGGTGCTTGTCAAAATTAATTTGATCTGGTATGAACTAAACTTTAATGTTGGTGAATCTCACTAAACCTGTCATTACATGCCCTCTCAAAGAAATAAATAGAATAATTGTTTTTAAATCGAGAATGTTTTTAGAATCAATCACTTTTTTTTGTATTGTGAGAAATAAATAAACTAAAGAAAATAATTATAAAAAATGTAAATTGTTTAGACAAGTGAAAAGAATTTGAGAAGATTGTATTTTTTCAATAATAAATCAGAAAATAAAATGAAAGCATCACAATCCAAAAATCTTAATTGTTCTCAAATAGGCTTAATTTTCTTAATGCAAATTATAATTTTGATTATAATACATATGTTTTGTCTTTTAAATACATATTTTTTCTAGGGTGAAATGTGTCCTGGACATATTTACTGAGATTCATCCAGGTAAGGATCTCGTAGAAACAGGTTGCATGTTTATACTTCCCGAATTACAATTTTTAAATGCACCCAGAAAAGTAAATAACTCTTAGTAGCCTGTCCGTTTGATTTAAACTTGATTTTTCTAAAACTCTACAGTTGCAAGGCTAACAAAAGGACACAAGAGGGAAGTATGGCACTGCTATATGATTTGCGTAGAAATTATAATCCAGTTTTGTACAGAGATATGGATCTTTTAATAATAGAGCTGTTATGCCGTGTTAGTGTTTCTGTGTGATCTTCAAATGAGTTCATGTGCAAATTCATTGTGATTCTACTAAAACTGTCTGACTGTGTAATTTTTGTATGTGGGCTCTGTATATAATAAGCAGTATCTGTTTACCTGACTACAAAAAAAATAAAAATAAAATTGTGTGCTTAAGCCATGCTTACAAATGTCAGTGTCTACAGCACAAAATATCAAACCAAGAGCCATTTATATTAAAGCATGCAACATATTTTACGAAAAGGTATAATGCAGTGATGGTTGTGCTTTTTTTTATTTTACAGATACTTTTTGGAGCCACTGTATGTATGTATTTCATGTGAATTCAGAGCTGTACACTTTATTCAATATAAAAGGTTGTTTTGTTCTTTGGCAATTAATGCACTAATTTCATTAAAGGGGTCATATGATGCGATTTCAAATTTTCCTTTCTCTTTGGAGTGTTACAAGCTCTCGGTGCATAAAGAAGATCTCTAAAGTTGCAAAGACTAAAGTCTCAAATCCAAAGAGATATTCTTTATAAAAGTTAAGAGTCAACCACGCCTACCTAAAACGGCTCGTTCTAACACGCCCCCACATATCTACGTCACGATGTGGGAAGATTTGTAAAGAAAGAAGGCATAACTTTGATTCTCGCTGTAGTATTGTTGTTGCCGTGTGTTTCGTTGTGAAAGCGAAACTACTTTGTTTGGCCTTCCAAAAGAAGACACGACTAGAAATCAGTGGTTAAGTTGTATTTACAACACTGTTCCAGAACAGTTCAACCCAAATATTCAGATGTGTGCAGCGCATTTTATGGAGGACTGTTTCCTGATCCTGGTAGAGTAGACTACAATGCCGGCTGTTCTGACTCACAGACTGTAAGTACGTTTTCACATTTAAAGAATTTGCCACTGATGATTCAAACGCGAGTTTTGAGCAGTGTAGAGTAGCGCTTGTTGTTTGTCATTTCTCCGATCACAAATGTAGACATGGTTTTATGTTTAC